TCCTGGTCTCTCATGGCCGTGAGAGCATCCAAGGAAAACTGCACAGCTCCTCACCGTGCTCCAGCTTCTCGCACTCACCCATCCGTCCAGCCCCGGGGCTGTCCCTGGGCGTCCATCTCCCTCGCCCTTACCTCCATCCGTCCATCCATCCATCCATCCATCCATCCGTCCGTCCGTCCATCCGTCCGTCCATCCACCCACAGCAGGGTGCGTTTGTCCCCCCCAGCCCCTCCGGCCGATGGGGCCACTCGGAGCCGGCCCCCCCCGATCCGCTATCCCTGCTGCCACCTAGCGAGCAGATATTCCCAGGGAAACAGCGGCTCCCGCAACCCATCCCGGGAGCGGCACGTCGGGATGGACGGGGGGCTTGGAGCTGGGGAGGCGGCGGGACAAACCCTGGGGCTCTCTCCATCCCGCTCTGAGATGCTCCCTCCTTCCCGCCGCAGGACGAGAAGAACCAGATGATGACCACCAACGTCTGGCTGAAGCAGGTGGGAGCCTCTATGGGGCAGGAGGGGCTTTGGGGGCAGAGAAACCCTGAGGAGGAGGAGGAGGAAGAGCTGGAGGGTTGTCCTCGTCCTTGCTGGACCGCGGGACAGCCTGTCCCACCTGTCCCCGTGTCCCTGCAGGAGTGGAGCGACTACAAGCTGCGCTGGAACCCGGCCGACTTCGACAAYGTCACTTCCATCCGCGTGCCCTCCGAGATGATCTGGATCCCGGACATCGTGCTCTACAACAAGTGAGTGGCGCCGTGGGGAAGGGGCAGCCGCCGGGCTCCCCCGTGTGCTTCGTCCACCTTAGCCAGGGCTTAGCAAGGTCTCAGCTAGGGCTTAGCAAGGTCTCAGCTAGGGCTTAGCAAGGTCTCAGCAAGGTCTCCACGTGTCTGTGCCCCGCGCAGCGCCGACGGGGAGTTTGCCGTGACCCACATGACGAAGGCCCACCTCTTCTCCAACGGGAAGGTCAAGTGGGTGCCGCCCGCCATCTACAAGAGCTCCTGCAGCATCGACGTCACCTTCTTCCCCTTCGACCAGCAGAACTGCAAGATGAAGTTCGGCTCCTGGAGCTACGACAAGGCCAAGATTGACCTGGAGAACATGGAGCATCACGTGGACCTCAAGGACTACTGGGAGAGCGGCGAGTGGGCCATCATCAACGCCATCGGCACCTACAACTCCAAGAAGTACGACTGCTGCACCGAGATCTACCCTGACATCACCTTCTGCTTCATCATCCGCCGCCTCCCGCTCTTCTACACCATCAATCTCATCATACCCTGCCTGCTCATCTCCTGCTTGACCGTGCTGGTCTTCTACCTGCCCTCCGACTGCGGGGAGAAGATCACGCTCTGCATCTCCGTCCTGCTGTCCCTCACCGTCTTCCTGCTGCTCATCACCGAGATCATCCCTTCCACCTCGCTGGTCATCCCGCTCATCGGAGAGTACCTCCTCTTCACCATGATCTTCGTGACGCTCTCCATCATCATCACGGTGTTCGTGCTCAACGTGCACCACCGCTCGCCGAGCACGCACAAGATGCCGCGCTGGGTGCGCAGCTTCTTCCTCAACTTCATCCCGCGCTGGCTCTTCATGAAGCGGCCGCCGGCGCTGCCGCCCGCCGCCCAGTACGACCTGCCCGCCGCCCGCCTCAGCACCTCGCGCTGCTGGCTGGACACCGACGTGGACGACAAGTGGGAGGAAGAGGAGGAAGAGGAGGAGGAGGAGGAGACGTGCCCCCGGCGGGCGCCGCGGGCGGGCGCGCGCAGCCAGGGTGCCCCGGGCCGCTACGGGTGCGGGCGGCCGCTGCGCAAGGTGCCGGGTGGCCCCAGGGCGCCCAGCAAGGGCGACGCGGGCGGCTCGGAGCAGGCGCTGTCGCCCGGCATCCTCAAGGCGCTGGAAGGGGTGCAGTACATCGCCGACCACCTGCGCGCCGAGGACGCCGACTTCTCGGTGAGCCCCGGGCTGCGGCGGGGACACKCGCGGGCTGGGCGCGTGCTCCGTGGATCTCACAGGATCCCAGGGTGGCTGAGGCTGGAAGGGACCCCCAGGGATCCCTGCCAGGGACACCCRGAGCACGGGGCACCCGGGCGCATCCCGGCGCGCTGGCAGATCTGCAGAGCAGGAGCCTCCGCAGCCTCCCTGGGCAGCCTGGGCCAGGGCTCGGGCASCCTCCCACCAAACAAGTTCTTCCTCACGGCCACATGGAGCTGCCTGCGCTGCAACCTGCACCCACTGCCCCTTGGCCTGCCCCTGGCCACCACCCACCAGAGCTTGCACCTTCCTCCCTCCATCCTCCTAATTTCCTGATGCTTCCCCTGGCTCAGAGATGCTTGAAGGTCCCCGAGCGCAGGGATGGAGCAGCCCAGACCAGGCTCAGCTGGCGCTTTCAGGAGACCCATGGTGGGGTTTGCATAGAGCCCAGAGAGGTTCCCCTCCATCCCTGGTGCTCCAAGGGGTTCCCTAGACCCAGCACAGGATATTTCCCCATGGAAAGACCCCATGAGCCAGGGCTTCTCGTGCCCCCGCTCACGGCACCCCTCTGCCCCGCAGGTGAAGGAGGACTGGAAGTACGTGGCCATGGTCATCGACCGCATCTTCCTCTGGATGTTCATCATCGTCTGCCTGCTGGGCACCGTGGGGCTCTTCCTGCCGCCCTACCTGGCCGGGATGATCTAGGGCCGGGCCGGGGGCGCCGGGTGCCCCCCGCAGCGGGGGGTGCCCATCCTCGAGCGCCCGCAGCACCCACGGGCTTGGGACATCTCCAGGACCGTACGGGACACCAGCTGCAGCAACGGGGGGACCAGGAGCTCGGCCACCCCCAGGGCCAGAATCCGCGCTGCAGCAGCGGCGCCCGCTGCTTCCTGCTCCCGGGATTCCRGCCCCTATTCCCTCGCTTCCACGCGGCCTGGGAGGCCGAGCCTGGCGAGGGAGCCGGGCTCTTCTCCGGCACCCGAGGGGCACCAAGTTTCTCCCGAGACGGAACCAGAACCCGCAGTGGTGGCTGCTGCCTGCAGGGGTTAGGAAATGCACGCGGGAGCTGGAAGAAATGGTGCTGATGGGGGCTCTGGGCAGCCCAAGGGTCCGGAGCAGGCGGGGAACAGGAGCTTGGGCCGATCCTAAGGCTTATTGGGGTGACATGGGGCTCAGGACAGGGCTGGAGCCCATCTGTGGTGGCCACGATGCTCAAACTGGCCTCGCTCCAAGGAGAAGCTCCCTAAGGGCTGCTGAGCATGGACAGACCCTTCCCTGCAGGAACTGGACCCCGGGCCCCACAGCCGGGTCGGTCCTGAGCACCACGGGCCTTCCTGGGGCTTTAAGCCGGCGCTGGGGCGCAGGAAAGCAGAGGCGCCGCTAGGCTTGGCGCACGGTTTTATCTCAGCCAGAACGAACAGCGTTGCGGGGAGATTCTGGGGAAAAGCCCGAGCYGGACGACTTCCAAGCGGAGCACTTCCCGGGAAGAGGTTTCTCTGCTCCCCGTCCCTCGCACGGAGACGAGCTGCTCTCCCGGGCGGCCCCAAGGCCGGCGGGGCCTGGCCCCCAGGCGCTGTCCTTAAATAACCCCTTCCATACAACGTACACGGAGACGCACACAGACCCTGGGCACGGCCCCGGGGAGCCGCCGGCGGCCGCGCGGGTGTCCCGGGACAGCGGCTCCCGCGGGTGCCATCCCCGCCGCGGCGGAGCCCCGGGGATCCCTGTCCGTGTCCCCGCTCCGGGGACGAGCGGCCGYGTGGCTCCCTTCTTCCAAAGCCCGGCACGGTGACGCTGCGGACACGAGCGGCTGCAGGAGGCGGCGGGACGGGGAGGGCAGCGCGCGCTCTCCTCCTCTCCGTCCCCAACCCTCGCCCGGGCCTTGCCCGGCCTCTCCTCTCACTCCAAGCACAGCTTGGCCAGGTTGCCCTGGAGCTTGGCTTGGTCCACAGCGTCCAGGAGGTTCTTGGCGTCCACGGCGAGCGCGTGGGAGGCCGTGAGCATCTGCCGCTTGCACTCGTCGCTCAGCGAGGTGACGGCGTTCTGCTGCGCCAGGCGCATCTTGTTGATGAGCTCAGCCAAGTCCTTGTTGAGCAGCTTCTGGGTGCCCTCGATCTGCGCGGGACACGCGGCGGGGTGAAGCGCGGGGGCGGCCGCGGCGCCCCGAGGCGCCCGCCGGCCCCGCGGGCCCTACCTCGGTGCGCGAGGCCGYGGGCAGCGCGGGCAGGATCTCGTCCACGCTGCCGATGAGCTTCCGCAGGGACAGGCCCACGTTCTGCGGGGAAGGCGGCCGGGCTGGGACGGCGCCAGGCTCCGGCCTGGATGCTCCCGGCGCGGAGCAGAGCCCGTGCCGCAGGCTCGGTGACAAGATGGGGACCGGGACACGGTGGGAAACGCTCTCCCCCACCGACTCCGAGGCCCACAGAGAAGCGGAGCGCGCTGGAAACGCTCCYATCATTGACCCAAGGATGTAATGCGGGAAAACGCTCCCTTCCATAGGGCCATCCCGAGGAGGATGCTGTGGGAATGAGGGAACGGGGCAGCGCYGGCACTGCCCGTTGCCTCCCTACCTTCACGGCCAGGATGTAGCCCTCGGGGGGCAGGAGGCTGATCTCGTTCTTGAGCTGCAGCACGGAGCGCACCAGCTCCATGACGTTGCCGTAGACCGCGTCGTCCGTGCGGTCCAGGTTGGCCGTGGGGGCCGGGTGGATGGGCTGCCGGGGAAGGGGGACACGGTGGGGTCCGCAGGGAAGCCCCGGAGCTGCCAGGCTCCCGGGAGGAGCGGGATGGGGATCCCAGGGGGCCTCACCTGGGCGCCGAGGCGCGGAGGCTTCTGCGGCGGCCCCGTGAACTCCGCTACGGCGTCGGTAAGGGAAAGGAAGCAGGGTCACTCCCGTGGGTGCTGCGCCGTCCCGCAGCATCGCCCGGGACGGACCCCCTGCGCTTCCCCCCGGCCGGAGCACTCACTGTAATCCGTCTCCTTCTCCGGGAGCAGCTGCTGAGGGAAGAAACACGGAGCAAGTTAAGAGGCGGCAACTTGCAGCCGGAGACGGTGAAGACGGAGGAGAAACCCCAGGGTAGGGCCCGTGCCAGGATGTTTGTCCTGGACCGGGAGGATTTCACCCCTTGAGGTGTCCTGGACCAAGATTTCACTGCTCGATGTTTCTGGCTATGTGTTTCCCCCAATAAACCAGTGATGGGCACGTGCTGGGGAGCTGCCACCACCCATCAAAGCTCTCCGGGGTCCCCAGCCGAMGGTCCCGCTGCAGCCCCTGCCACCAAGGTGCCCCCGGGCCCGCCTGGCACCACTCACCGGCGGGAGGTTGTTGTTCACGAACACCGTGGGGTCCTGCAAGGCAACGAGAGCCTCGTCAGAGGCAGCAGGCTGGGGGAGCCGGGGGTGCCCCAATCCAGGCTCTGTCCCGCGGGAATCGGGACTGGGAGACGCCTCTGGGTTTCCCAGGAAGTTGCTCTGGGCGAGTCCCTCTTCTCCAAGAGGCTACGTGGGGCTTTTTGGCTTTCTGCCCATTGATTTCACAGGGGTTTTCACCTGGCTGGGTGGCCGCTGCCCTGGGTGACACCAGGGACGTGGGACACTAGGGGAAATGACACTGGACGATATGGGACACCAGTAAACATGTAAAACCACTGATATGGGACACCACCATGGGAAACACGGGACCGAGCACGCAGAGCCGCTCCCATCCCCAGCAAAAATTCCTCAATTTCTGATTTTATCCCCTCACTTTGGAGCAGGAAAAGCAGCACCAGCCCCTCTTGCGCTGCCTGACAGAGGCCAGGAAAACACACTGCCGATCCACCAGGATCAGCCTCCAGGAAAACAAACGACGGGAACACTTTTTCCCAGCCCCACTGGGCCAAGGAATAGCGGAGAAGTCCAGGCTTTCCAGCCTATCCTTGCTCCCACCGCATCCCGCTACCTGCTCCACAGGGAAGCRCTGCTCCAGCTCCATCTGCTCCCCTGCCCCAGGGCCACCAGCCCCCTCTGACTGCAGCTCAAAATAATTAAGGTTAATTCAAGCGATTGCCTCCAGCTGCTCATCACATACAGCTGCTCCGGCCTCCACATCGGGGTGGTGCTGCTGAAAACGGGGTTGGTTCTTTTCCAGCTACGTCACTTGATCTAATAAAAGAGCCTTTGGGGTTTTTTTCCCCCCGCTTCCAAGCCTGCCTCGCTAAAAGCTGGTGCATTAGTCACCCATTAGCTATCTTAATTCCTTATTTAAAAAGTGTTACAAAAGCCCATTAAAAGGAGATTGCAAGGGTTTAAAAACTCCCCGAGTTTCAAAACATTCATTTCCCAAAGCCTCTCTGGGAGATTTTTAAGAGAGGGCAGAAAATAAGGAGGTGCAAGCGTTTTGGTTATGCCAGAGGCCGTTCTTCTGGGGAAAAACCAGGTTTTCCAGCCGTGAAAAGTGACCTTAATGACTGCAGTAAGTGGAAAACCCATGCTGTGAAACGCTTAGGGGAAAAGAATGTCACCAAGGGACATTTGGCACAGCAGGGACATTTGGCACGGGGCCTTGCGGGGGCACAGCGAGGTGTGGGGCTCACCAGGGCCTTCTCCTCCTGCCTCAGCCACTGGTAGTCCTCCAGCATCTGCTTCTGCTGCTTGTCCAGGAGCTGCCGCATCCTGAGGCGCTCCAGCTCCCAGAGCTTCTGTGCCTCCTCCCGGCTGCTGGGCCGCAGGAAATCCTCCTCCTGGCAGGGCGAGAGGCAGTGGGACAGCAGCAGTCGGTGACAGTGGCACTCGGGTGACAGCGACGCTCGGGTGACAGCGTCCCGCTCCGTGCACGCAATCCATGCATGGCACCTGCCTGCCCCGGGACGTGCCCCCGGCGGCTTTGCAGGCACCATCCGAGCGGAGCAGGCAGCAAAGGGCCCCCGAGGTGGGACGGAGGGAGGCCCTGAGCCTCCCATAAGCGAGGTCAGAGCCTCTGGCAGCAGCAGGCAGCGAAGCAGAGCGCGGTGCAGCCCCCCCGTGCCCCCCACATGCACCGTGGGCACCGGGCAGGGCTGCGGGGACCYCTCTTACCCTCATGCTGTGGCGCTTGAGGACGTGGTGGCGGTTGAGCGGCGGCGTGTGCAGGGAGCTCGCGGGCGACTGGTACTCCACGGGGCTGGTGAGCGTGGGCGAGCTGGCGCACAGGCCCTCGGGCACCTGCGGGGGGCACGGGGGCGGCACGGAGCGGGGCACGGGAGCCACGGCGAGGGGCGTTAGTGGGGGCGGGCACACGGAGGGGCAAGCGGAGCGCGCTTGGGAGAGGGGCTTTTGCACCAGGGCCTGGGCGAGACGGGGCTCCCTCCATCCCGATGCCCGTCGGTGGCTCGGGATGGCGACTATTCCTATTTCTCCTGGCTGGGATGTTCGCTTGAGCCCGGGAGGTGCCTCGTCCCACTGCCCTTCCCAAGCCCTACCTGTCCTGGAAGGAGAGCCCCAAAGAGCAGCCGCTCCTGCAGACTTTGTCCCGGTGCCCTGGGACGGACACCAACCCGCCAAGGCGGTGGCATCCCGGTGGTGACACCCAAGGAGTCTGCCCCCTTGCAAAATTCCACCAAATCCTGTCCTAATTCTGCCCCTCGGCTCCCATGGCTGTTCCCAGGGGCCTTCCCTGTGTCCCAGTGCAAAGGGCCACCAAACTCAGCCCCTAGGGCCACCAGAGAGCAGCGAAGCCCTCCTCTCTGCGTGGCCAGAGCGGCGGGTGCCCTGTGGCACCCCACTGCACCAGCCGTCCTGGGGCGAAAGCCTCTCCCCRAGCTCCAAAGCACGAACAAAACACAGGGCACGAGCGCGTGGTTAGAGCAGGGCTGGATCCGCCGCGGAGCTGAGTCCTGCTTGCAAGGCAAAGGGAAGCACTCAGTGACGCAGTGGTGGCGGTGGCGGCGCAGAGCGGCTTGGGAGCCACATATCTCGRTCCCAAATTCCACCACGGCAGTTGTCCCACGGGCTGGGGCACCGGCCGAGCCCCAGGTGCTGCTTCCAGGCGTCAGATCCCGTGCTCAGGTCGCCCACTGGCTCGTCCCGGCTRTGGAGCCTTACCTGGAACTGCAGCTTGGGAGCCAGGAGGTTGTTCTGGGGCGGCGCTTTGTACTTGGGCCTGCTGGGCTGTGGGAGGAGAGGAAGAGGGGGAAATGTAGATGAATAAAGTGTCTTTGCTGGCTACCTTAGCTCAGGGTTGCTCATTTCAGAATATTTCAGAATATTTCAGAATATTTAAGGTTGGAAGGGACCTCTACAGATCATCTAGTCCAACCTTCCTGCTCAAGCAGGCACACCTAGAGCATGTAATCATCTTCTGCTCGGAGGCAGGGTATTGCACACGTCCGTGGGGGAAGCAAAAGCACAGCTTTACCAAGCTGGCAAGGGTACCCCTGGGCATCCAAGGGAGGTGCTGGCCCCTCGTGTCCTGCCCAGCTGCCCGTGCCAGGCTCTGTCCCCTCCTCACCTTTGGGGGYGGCTCCTGGAATGCCGGTGGCTCCATGATTTTGGGAGGCCGGTGGCGATTATTCCTCTCCTGCTCCTTGGCAAGCTCCTTCTCCATCAGGTAAATGTCACTGCGTGGGGAGGTGAAGGGGAAAACAAAACAGGAAGGGGGATTAGCAGAGTCCCATCCAGCTGGACACATCTCCAGTGTAGGGGAATTCATAAACTAGACGTGCTGTGGAAAATAGGAGGCCACCAGCACCAGTAAGTTCCGAGCAGCTCCGGTTCTGGCTGCAGGCTCAGAGCTCCACTCAGCTCCTTCCCAYCTGGTTCCTGGGAAAGGAAACGGCTCAAATATAGTGGATTAAAGAGTGAATTGACCCAAACTTCTGGAGGCRCCTTCTGGGGATGTCGTGAGACATGGGAGCTGCTGCAAAACTGAGAGAAGCTTTTTGCAGTCAACTTATCTGCCGTTTCAGAATTAAAAATGGATAATTCTCCCTGAAGGCTTTTCAAACTGTGAGGAGAAAAGAGTTGATTCCTGCTTGTCCATGAGGAGCAAACGGTCCCCACTGCAACCCAAGCACCACCAGCAGCACAAGCTGGGGACAGGTTCCTAAGAGCCCTTTGACTTTGGGGGTTGCCAGAGAACTCGGGACGTCGCCTCTTGCCCGGGTGCAGTTTTGGGGCACCCCTCGGCGCCGCCCTGCTCACCTCAGGCTGCAGACCAGCTCCTTGAACTTGGGCCTCTCGCTGGGGTCGTAGTCCCAGCAGCGCGTCATGAGGGTGTAGAGGACGGGCGGGCAGAGGTCSGGCTTGGGCAGGCGGTCGCCCTTCTCCAGCACCCCGATCACGTCCTTGTTCTCCAGCCAGAAGAAGGGCTGCTTGCCGTAGCTCAGGATCTCCCACATGCACACGGCTGTGGGCACAAGATGCCATGGATAGCGGGGCACGCCAGGAGCCCATGGGGAGGCTAAGGGGATGCTGGATCACAGGAGCAAGTTCTATGGATGCTCTGGGAGCTAGGCAGGGAATCATTGCTCTCTCAGGCATTTGGAGACTTGGTCACAGCTCCGTGCTCTGCTGCRTCCAAGCAGGACACTCTGAGTTTCCGTTCTCCAGGTGGAAAATGTGGAGAAAAATGCTCCCTGCTGCTCCAAGGATATGAAAGGAGCCAAGCTCCTGTGTTACTGAGGAGCATGGGACTATTGGGGACGGACAGACTGACAGGGGAGGACTAGAGGCTACTGCAAGGTGCAGATGGGCTGGGGGATGGATATTTGCAAAGAGTGGAGTTTGACTTGGCCTCCCCGACCAGACACCAAGGTCCTGAATTCCCTGGAGGAGGCACTTAGTGATAACTGAATTGCAGGAAAGCCCGAGCTTTCTCCTGAGAACCTTCTTCTTAGGTATCTTTCCCAAAGGGCATATCTGGGATAATGTCAGGCCTCTGCATTTACAACAGGAAGCCGAGAGCAGAATTTGGCCGTGGGGGTTAAGACAGTGCCCCGCGAGGAGGACAAGGAGCCCGTCCCGTTCCCACCCCTCCACGCACCAAACATCCACACGTCGCTGGCCGTCGTGAAGCGGCGGAAGTTGATGGACTCCGGGGACATCCACTTGATGGGGAGACGGGTCACGGATGCTGGCGGAGGCAGAAACAGTGGCCACGGTTAGAGCAGCGTGGCAGGAGAAGATGCACCCAGTGCAGCCCTGCACAAGCCAGGCAGGGGGACAAGACCCCTGCATGTCCCTTGCTACCCACCCCTGCTGGGACAGCCCTGGCCCCTTCCCACCACCCCTCGCTTGCCCATCTGCAGCTCTCCTGCAATTGCTCTGAGCCTCATTGCATGCCAGGGCCAGCAGGCCCCTCGCACACTCCTTACCTTTATAGTACTCCTCATCCTCTATGTACCTGGAGAGGCCAAAGTCACCCAGCTTCACGCATTCTGGAGAGGCCACCAGGATATTCCTCACGGCAATATCCCTGCAAGGAGAAAGACCCTTGACTGGGGAGAAGGAGGAACGTGGAGAAGGGATGGACCTCAGGTCAGGAGACGAGCTCACTCCTGCAAAAGCAGCTTGCCTGGTGCCAAGGGCCTGCACCTTGGTCCACAGTGAAGGGTGCTGCCAACCTGCTTGCCCGCATGGCATGGTCCTACTTGCCCATCCATCTATCCCAGGCCCAGGTCTCTACCTTTCCCTTCCTCYCTCAGCATCCCAGTCTTTTCTTTCCCCTAGGCTCTCAAGAGGGACTTGCCCCTCCAGGGAAAGCAGGGAAATGGGAACTGCTTCTCCTCGGGACAGCACTTTTGTGACTCCCCATGTCGCAATGGGCCAGGCCTTGGGAGAGGGGCTGCTCTCCTTGTCCCATCCATCTCCACTACAAAACCAACCATGCTGGAATTGGCCTTTCCCAATGTCCACCTCCAGGCGCTTCTGAGCTGCCACGCAGGCCCCTGGCTGAGCCTCCCTGCCCTGGCCTGTGTCACCTGTGCACGCAGTTGATGGCCTCCAGGTAAGCCAGGGCTTTGCTGATCTGCAGCGCGTACAGGATGAGCGTGGGCACGGCCAGCGAGTGCTTGTTCTGCTCCAGGTACTGCCCCAGCTGCAAAGCAGGGCTGGGGTGAGGGACAAGCGTGGGCAGCCTTAGCCCAGCGCTGTGGGGCCGGGAAGAGGCAGGGGGGGCCTCGCTATGGGGCTCCCCAACGCTGCTCACCTCTCCGTAGGGGTAGAGCTCCATGATGATCCAGGTGGGCTCCTCTTCCGCGATGCCGATGAGCTTAACGATGTGGGGGTGGTCCAGCTTCTTCATCAGCACTGCGGGGAGACCACAGTCACACAGGGAGCCCCATGGTGCAAGGGTGCTCCCCGGGAACCCACTCCTTCCTGCAGGGGTGCAGGGGCACAGCGATGCCATAGGGCTGGATGAGGGGACAGCAGGAATTGCCAGGGACCTCCTACCACCTCTGCGATGGGGCTGGAGAAGCCTCCTGACTTCCAGCTCCTGCAGATCTGTGGTCAGCTGGCATGTGACTACTCTCATGCAAGGTTTCAGTGGCCCTCAGGAGGATCTCTAGGCCCCAGCACTTCGATCCCCTGCAGACTGTCCCCTCTGCAGGTCCTTGCAGCCAGGGTCTGGCCTGCAAGCTCTTCTACCCCAGATCAGCAGCCTATTCCAGCCACCCGTGTTGCCTTTCTCAGCCCTGGGTGCTGTTAGCAGTGAAGGTACCAAGGCATGAGCCCCACAGCGTCCCTTCCCATTCCCTCCCACTGCTGCTCTGTATCGATCCATCACGTTCCCAGCAGGACAGAGCCGGAGATCCGGAGGGGACAACCTGCCTCTCAGCTTCCCCCATCCCTTCTGCTCACCCCTGAGCCCTTGCACCGAGCGCTGCAAGCAGCGACCTCGCCACAAGGCAGGATCCTGCTGCCCAGCCCGGCCCCTGCCTGCATCGGGCATCAGGGATCCCAGAGCAGGAGAGAGGACCCGAGCCCCGTTCTGGGCAGCTGTGCCCAAGCTGGAGGAGTTCAGGGCTGGCCAGGTCCACCGGCAGGACCTCCAGCATACCCGCTTCGCTCAGGAACTTGTCCTTGTTCTCCGGGCTGCAGTCCTTCTTGCAAGTCTTCACGGCCACGTTGATCCGCTCCCCCTTCTGTAAAGAGAAGCAGGGGAGGTTCCCCGCTTCACCTGCTGCACCCCACTTCCCTTGGCCATCACCACCAGGGAGATGGAGAGGGCAGCAAACTCACCGGGTTGGTGTAGATGCCCTCATACACCTCTCCGAAGAAGCCTTCCCCCAGGATCCTGCCCAGCGCCACGTCCTCCCGGGAGATCCCATAGTACTGGACTTCATGGATGGGGAGACAGAGCAGGATCAGTGGGCGCTGGCAGCTCCTCTCTCCTGGCAGTAGCCACAGGGGAAACTGCTGCCCCCCAGTCCTGCTCTTCACACTGTGTGGATTTTGGTGACCCTTGGGAACCCTCCTCCATGAAGCTCCCACCAAAGGCAGAGCCATGGGTCTCACTCCATGGCATGCAGAGCAACTCCTGCTCCTTCAGCTCCTCTCTGAGGAAGAGGGTGGTCCTAAGGTGAGCCATGTGGGCATAGTCTTCCTCCCTGCTTTGGAGCAGGGAGGAGGGTTCGTTGGGAAATTGGGGTAGGGAAGAAAAGGAGAAGAAAAGAGTAGGTSTAGTTGGGGTATGGGAAGATGGAGAAGGGGATGAGATGCAGAGCCCGGGGAGTCTGTCCTAGCTGGGGTTGAAGGGTSAATAAATGGGGTGAAATGGGGGATGTGGGAGTTCCTGCAGGGGCTGGCGGGGTGGCAGGAGGTGGGACGGGGGATGTGGCAGGATGTGTGTGACAGGAGAGCAGGGGAGCCAGCACATGTCTGTGTGAGGTCCTGTCCTGGGAGTCCTGCTCCGGCCCCACACTGCCCAGTCAGGACACSCAGCAGGGTGACACCTACCTCCAGACCGCGGTCTCGAGGGATCATCCGGGATTTCAGCATAAATATCAGATTCTAGGGCAAGAAAGAGGTTTCAGGCAGTGACCCTGACAGCTCTTCAGGCACACACACTTCCCGCAGCATCCCTGAACGGTCTGGCCTTCATGGTGAGGGTCCCTTGGTGTTCCCAAGGGTATCGTGTCCCATGGGTGCATGGGAAGCAGCCCTGGCTTTTGCACTCCAGGAGGATGCTCAGCAGCATCTCTGCTCACACACAAAAAGGCAGGGGGGTCCCCCTGCACCAAAACCAAATCCCCCCAGGTCCCCTCTCAGAAAGGCTGTGGGACAGCCCTGTTGACACCCGCGGCTGGTGGGAAGGAAGGAAATGAGTCTGAAACTCACCCACGCTTATGCTGTCTGACAGCACGGATTTTCTCTCCTCTAGGTGCCTATGGGGCAGAAGGAGGCTCAGGTTATGGAACAGGGAGAGACACCAGGATGGGGCAAACAGCCTCACTTTGAGGCCTATGTGTGACTTACTGGGATGGGATCTGTGGCAGGCTGATCCTCTTCTCCTTCTCTGCGGAGAAGAGAGCAGAAAACCTTTACCAGATGTCCCTAACAGACCCTGGGGACCTCTTGTTGTCCCCTGCTCCTCGTCGGCCACAGTGCTGCCTCCCGGGGGGACGTGGGGCAGGTCACTCCATGCACCCCGACAGCTCCCCATGAAGACCATGGAGAGCTAGCCCGCAGGAAAGCAGAGTGCTTTGGAAATGCCCCCACCCTGGGGCTCCACACTCACCTTTCCGGGAGAAGACGATGAGGGAGGTTTCCAGGTCGCCCTGCAGCCGGCAGTAGCCGTCTATGAGATCAGCCATGTTCTCCGCCTCRGCCAGAGAGGACGTCTTGATAGCCAGGGACTAGCAGAGACAGCGAGGACACGGGTTTAGGTGAGCCAGGGCCCGGCAGGCAGAGGGGTCCCCCCAGACCCGTGCACCCAGAGACGAGGACTGGGGGACACTGGGGCTCCCTCCCCTTTTCCACTCATCTTGAGTTAGGTCAGAGCATCTCCAAGAACTTCTTCCCCACTCAGCAGTGGGCCCCAGTCTCCCCAGCACCCTGGACCAGCGCCCAGGACCCCCYAGCCCACGTGTCCACCATGAACCCCCACCAGGGACCAGGAGACCATCAACTCCTTCCTACTCTGACCCCACAGTATCTCGTTCAACAGGAAGATAAGGCATCACCCCTGGCCCCACCATCGCGCGCGCAGCCCTGCAGAGCCCGGCATGCTCATTACAGCCGTGTTCAACCCTGCAGCCTCCCGCCCAGCGCGCGGGCCTCACCTGGGGGGTGCCCGCCAGCCCCAGCTGCAGCACGGCCCTGCCCTCCCCAACATTCGAGCACTTGATGGACTTGATGTGCTTGAACTCGGCCAGGCAGGTGGGCTGCGGGAGCAAGGGAGGCCGTCAGCGCCGCCGCAGCCTGCGCTCGGCAGCAGCGCTCTCAGCCCCGCGCACAGAATCCCTGAATGGTTGAGGTTGGAAGGGACCTCTAGAGATCATCTAGTCCACCCTTCCTGCYCAAGCAGGGACACCCAGAGCACGKGGCACAGGGYGGCATCCAGGYGGGTTTTGGAGACCTCCAGAGAAGGAGACTCCACARCCTCCCTGGGCAGCCTGTGCCAGGGCTCTGTCACCCTCACAGTGAAGAAGTTCCTCCTCACCTGGAGATGGAACTGCCTGTGTTGCAGCTTGTACCCATTGCCCCTTGTCCTGTCACAGGCCACCACTGAGAAGAGCTTGGTCCCCTCCCTGCTACATTCCCCCTTCATGAACTTATATATGTTAATCAGATCCCCTCTCAGCTTCTCTTCTCCAAGCTGAACAGGCCCAACTCACTCAATCTCTCCTCATACGAGAGATGTTCCATTCCCTTAATCATCTTTGTTGCTCTCCGCTGGACCCTCTCTAGAAGATCCATGCACCCAGAGATGTGTCCTGGATCACTCCAGCCACTGCTTGCTCTCCCTGGGGTCTCCTCCGTGTTCCCTGGCACCCCATGACATGACTCACGTGCCATGGCTACCCCAGCTCTGGGCCCTGCCACGCTCTACCAGGGCTCCTGGGGCTCCCTGTGCTGCCCTTGGCACCCAGCTCACCTACCTTGGCCTCCTTGCTCGTCATCTGCCGGATGCCCTTGGGCCCGATGACCAGGTCCACGGTGATGTTCCACTCTTGCTGCGAGGAAAGCAGAAGGATGATGTGAATATTCAGGGGGCTCCTTTTGTAACCATCTGCCCTCATGAGTGTGGGACACTTGGGAAAAATCGCCTTCAAGGAGAGATTTGGAGAGGTGCTGGGGCCTGGCGGAGGGAGCAACACGGGGGAAGACCAATATGTGGGTCTTCTACCTCCTCCTTGCCCCAGCCCTCAGCTTCCCAGGCACCGGTCACCCCAGCCCTGCTTGCACTTGTCCTYGTGGAAGCAGCACCAGGGGTTCCCACCACCCCAAATCCCCCCTGCAGCCCCAGCCTCTTGTAGCTGTCACCATCCTCCAAAAAGGGCCACCAGGTGTCCGCACTGCAGGGAACGGGGAAAACGCTAAATATCCCCACTTCCCTCTGGGATGAGGATGAGGAATCAGGAATCTGCAGCATTCAGGRGACCTGGATTTTTCCTTTGCCTCCCTTGGGAGGACTAAAGGAATTCCCAGGCATCGGCCATGCCCTGCAGGGCTCGCATGCCTGTGCCCGTGCACTAAATAACCAAAAGCAGAGCCCTTCTCYGGCATGGAGGGACCACACCGGCCCAACACGCTCCATCCTGGAACACCCCAGCCCCGGAGCAGGGTGTCCCTGCCCTCCACGTGCCACCCCACGCGGTGCCCAGGCCGGGGGTKCATTGCCAGGCCTCACCACGAGCTCGCAGCGGTAGCTCTCCTGGTCGATGTTGGCGAAGGTGGCGAGGGTGTGCAGGAACTTGAGGATGCACTCGTCCTCCCGCAGCAGGGCGTACTGCTGGAACGTCTGCTGGATCATCTTCCGAAACTGCTTGGGCTGGGGGGACGCTCGGTCACCGCGGGGCAGCCCCCGGGCTCGCAGCGGGAGCGAGCGCAGCCTTGCACACGTGTGTTCACACATGCACATACATACAGCACACGTGTGTGTGCCACGTGCCTCCATGCCACATGTCACATGTTCTACATGTGGGCAGGTAAGCATGCACATACGTGTGGATCCACACGTGCACATGCATGGTCACATGTGTGCATGCACATGTATTTATGCATGTAAATAGAGTTTCACGTGTGTGAGCAGATGTTTGTGCATCCCTATATCCATACACATGCATATGCACATATATGTGCGTGCAGATACATTGTGTGGGCAGACAGGCATGCACACGTGTCTGCAAATCCACACGCACACACCGCTGCACACGCCTGGCTCTATGAGCACACACATGTACATGCACACGCGTGTGCAAGCAGATGCACCTGCACGCGTGCATGCAGACCTCCGTGTGAACACAAGTGTGGCAGACATGTAGGTACAGGCACCTGCAAGGCCACACGTGAACACCCCAGCACACACATGTGTGCGTGCCCGCCTTGCACATGTRTGTGTGCGAACACACGAACACACCCATCCCTGCTCGGGCACACCTGGACACAACCGCTCACCTTCAGGTTCTCCTGCATCTGGCTGGGGAAGAAGAGGTCCAGGCCCACCTCTTTCCTGGAAGGCAGAGAGCCCCCCGTGCAGGTTAACAGAGCAGCAGAGCACCCATGGGGACTGCAAAGTGGTGACATGTGGCACATGGGGGGAAAAACATGGGCCAGGGAATTGGGATCCCAACACAGGGGTCTCACTGGCACAAGGAACGAGCCTGAAACCTGCTAGGACAGGGATGCAGGGCACCCACCCTGCTCTCTCTGCACCCTTCATTCACTAACATTAGCAGGGTTAGCTCTTTCTCCCAGGAGGATGAGGAGGGTCAGTGCTGAAGGCCTGTGTGCAGGATCCCAGCTGGAAGGGGCGGTTTAGGGGCAAGGGGCTCTGTGCAGGCACGGGGGCAGTTCTGGGCACCCCAAGGCTGTGGGGTTGTGCTGGCTGTGTCTACTCACTCCAGGAACTCAAAGTTGGACTTCTTATCCAGGGCGTTCTGGGGCATGTCCTTGTAAAACCTCCTGCGAGAAGGGAGAGACGTCAGCGGGACACAGAGCCACCCCCTACACGTCCCCCTGTCCCTGCGCTCAGACCCTGACCCCAGAGGGCAGAGCCCTAAGGCGCTTGGCACCACAAACACCATCCGAGCTCCCTCCTCACAGGATCCCAGGGTGGCTGAGGTTGGAAGGGACCCCCAGGGCTCCCCCAGCCCCCCTGCTCCAGCAGGGACACCCAGAGCACGGGGCACCCGGGCGCATCCCGGCGCGCTGGCAGATCTGCAGAGCAGGAGCCTCCGCAGCCTCCCTGGGCAGCCTGGGCCAGGGCTCGGGCACCCTCCCACCAAACAAGTTCTTCCTCACGGCCACATGGAGCTGCCTGCGCTGCAACCTGCACCCACTGCCCCTTGGCCTGCCACCGGCCACCACTGCTTTTCAGGTCCCCAAGGCACCTACCTGAGCTCGAGGCAGCCCAGCTGCAAGGCCATGCCTTCGCTCACCTTGCTGGCGTAGTTCTGCATGTAGTCGCTGCGGAGCTGCAGGGGACAGCGCGGCGTCGGCAGGACGCACCCGCACACCCCGCGGCCCTCCCGCGCCCCCGGGAACGGGCTGAGGAGGTTTGTGGCTCTATTCAGCACGGCTGGGAGCAGTGGCTGCTGCTGGAGCAGCCTCAGGGAGATGGTGCAAACGGGCCACAAGGTCCGGGGGTTGGTGGATGGTATTTAGAGGGCTGGGGAGGAGGAGAAGCCCTCCTGGGGCTGGGGCAGGGGCTCTGGAGGCGAGTCGGRGTGGCCAGAGCAGCCTTGTGCACCCAATCAGAGTGATGTCGCACTGCGGTCGAGGCCAGGAGACACCATGAACCCCTCTGACCTGCTGGTAGAAGTAGAGCAGCGTGGTCCTGTCCTCCTTGAAACGCTCCATGTARTCCTCCGGGAGGTAGCGGATTTGGAGATCGTACCTGGCGGCACAGGAGAGCCCCCGTTGGGCACCTGTCCCTCTAAGAGGGGTGCAGAGCTGCCCCGGGGCCGCCGGGGTCCCTGCCCGGGGGTCCCTGCCCACCTACCTCCACTCRGCCTCCAGGTGCAGGCACTCGTACTTCTCCTGCACCTCGCCCACCGTCAGGTCCGGGTGCAGCCAGTGKATCTCGTCCGACTTGACGTGCTTGAGGCGCAGCCCGTAGCACTCGGCCAGCTTGATGTCRGGCCCGATGCGGCCGCTCACCAGGATGGACTTGATCACCTCCTGGCGAAGGGCAGGGAGAAGCAGCTGTGAGACCTGACACCTTCATCCCCAGCAGCGCATCCCTAGCACTCCAGGTCCCCCTGCATCTACGCCGTGAACACAGAGAGATCAAAAATGAGCAGAAAACCCAACACGACCGCACCAGGAACGTCCCTGCAGGGAGAGCACAGCTCCACGCACAGATGTTAGCCCCAAGGGTATCCACGTGAGGCCTCCAAAGATGCCTTGGCCTTGGTCARCCTGCTCTGCAGCAACCCACAGCCTTGAGGTGTCTTGCCCAAGYTCTTTGACTTGGTGTCTTGGACCAGGATGAAACCCGAAGGGGTCATTTGCTGCCTTCTTCGTGCTCCAGTGGAGCTCACAAYGGATACGCAGCACCACCCAAGCCCCAAAGCAGACACTGGTGGCAGTGCCCAGCCTGGCTCACTCCAGCCCCACGTCCTCACCAAGCCTTCATTGATGGGAACGGATGACTGGGGAAGAGAACAGAGAAAAARGATCTGATCTATCCTTCACATCTCCCGGTCTCCAGCTCCTTGTGAGTGCGGAGCCACCAAAGAGGGACAGAATTTCCACGTGCTCAGGAGCCCGCAGCGTATTTGCTTTGCAGGAGCTTGTCCTGTCTTGCCCGGACGCCCGAGCGACTCGTGTTCACGGTCCTCTGCGGCACCGCGGGGCCACGAGCGGCCTGCCAGGCTCTGCAGGGCTCCCCGTGACACACGTCTGCCTCGAGAGCCACCCGAGGCGGCGGTGGCCCCGCGACCTGCAGATAAGGAGCTCTGCATTGCGCCACCCTGCAGCTCCCAGGCTTGCTGAGGCGCCTGGCGCCCGCCTGGATGGGTCTGAGCAGGTCCTGGCGTGGACCGTGGGATGAGGGATCTTTGGAGATCATCTAGTCCAACRCCCTGCRCATGCAGGGTCATCTAGGGCACGTTGGACCCATGGCATCCAAGTGGGTTTTGAACATCTCCAGAGAAGGAGACTCTGCAACCTCTCTGGGCAACCTGCTCCAGTGCTCTGTCAGTCTCACAAAACCATGGGACACCAGCCTGGGACATTGTGGCCATGGGACACCAGCATGGTTGGTACGTTAAGGCCATGGGACCACCAGCACGGCCCCTCCTGGCCACGGGACATCAGCATAGCCCATGATGGCCATGGGTCATCAGCCTGGTAGATTAT